GGAGAGGCTGCAGAAATGTGGCCAGTCACGTGCTGATCATCACCCGGGTGAGGCATGGCGGTGCTGGGTTTGGGTTGCAGGCACAGAGAAGGAGGGAAGCGGACACTACAAGGAATCCTCAGGGGACCAGTGGTTGGTGTAATGGTTACATCGCTAGATTCCCATGTAGTTGACCTGGTTTGAGTCCCACACCTGGCAGCTTAAAACTCACACCTGGCATATGTGTGTGTGTGCCCAAAATCCCAAGAGGAGAATGGAGAAGAGATTTTGGCATCACCATCCCCCCTGGGGGTGATTTCTCACTTTCTGTCTGTCTCTATCTCTCCAGTGAGTGTAGGCGCCCTGTAGCAAAAAAAAAATCTCTCCCTTAAAAAACAAAAGGAATCCTCAGGAATCCACCGCTACTGGCCCTGTTCACTGATGAGACATGGAGTTGAAATAAAACAGAAAGTTAACAGCGATAGCTGGATATTTGTTCGAGCAATGTGGCAGGTGACAGGGAGAAGTTTATCAGTTTGCCATGTCATTTATTAAGGAAGGGAACCCCATGGCAGCAGCTTGTAGCTGAGAATATACATTTTTTAAATTATTTATGTATTTACTTTATTTGTTATTATTATTTGTTTTTTAATTTGACCAGAGAGACACAGTAAGAGAACGAGAAAGGGAAAGTGAGAAAGCAAGCCGCCAGGTCTGGGACCCTAACCTCAGCTGGTCATGTGGGAGTCCAGTGCCTTAACCACCACACCACCTCCCAGCACTGAGAACATCAACTCTTAGAGTTCACTCAAGAGACAGAAATCATGCCAGATATTTGAAGGTAAATTTAATATAAAGAGTGGTTAACTAACTAGGATGTTGTTAGCTAGGTAACTGAAAATGGAAAGGAGAACAGTAAATTATCATGAAGGAAGCAATTAAAGAAAGCAGCAACTACCCCTTAGGTCTGAGGAATCAAAGAGAAGACAGTAGAGTGAGTAAAACATGGAAACTTAGAGCAGGGACCCCGTTAAACCCAAACTTGGGCCCCCAATAGAAGGTGCTGCAAAGGTGTTGAAAGACTACAGGTTAATCGCTGGCACCAAAATGCATTCAACTTGGGGTGCTGGCAAGATATTCAAAAGGAAATACAGGGTACCTAGGATTCTAGATAAAATGCCAAAGAGATGGAGATGTCTTAGCAATTGACTAACTGGTGTTAACTATTGATAAAAGGGTGTGATTGGGCATTATGATATAGAAAGAGTACATGGAGGAAAGTGAGAAGAGAGCCTTCAGGAGTGCATTTCAAACTTAGGACAGGCCTACCAAGGAGACTAAGGACTGGCAAGAGGGACTGGGGCCAAGGTCAACCAAACCTAAGGCCGATGAGAGCCAAGCAATATAGTAAATGTCTCTGTTAACTGCAGATATGATTGTTTAGAACAGGGATCAGAAGCCTACAGTCTTCAAGTCAAATTCAAGCATGCCACCTATTTTCGGTCAATAAAATTTATTGCACACAGCCATGCAACCATTTACATGCTGTTTGAATCAGCTTTGTTGAGTTTGGTAGTTACCACAAAGACTTTAATAGCTCACAAAGCCTAAAATATTTACTCCCTGGTTCTAGACAGAAAACTTTTGCTATACTCTGGCTTAAAACATGATCTCTCTCCAAAATATTTGTATTTCCTCAGTAAATATTTGGATTTATAAATCCAAGTGATAATAGAACAATAGTTCAGTTAAGATACAGCTAAAAAGGTGAAAGTGAAATTGACATCTGTCTATATCTTGTAGATGACTGCTAATTCCACCTCACTCTCAGCTGGCGTTTTTTTGTTTTTGTTTTTGTTTTGTTTTTTTTTGAGAGATTTTCACTGTGGGGCGCGTGCGCTCGCCAGACAGACAGAGGGAGACATAGAGATAGAAAGCGAGAAATCACCCCCCAGGGGGGGATGGTCACGCTGCAATCCCTTCTCCTCCATTCTCCTCTCGGGATCTTGGGCACGCACGCACACGCACCTGGCGTGAGTTTTAAGCCACCGGGTCCGGGACACGAACCACGGTCGACTACGTGGGAGTCCAGCGACATAGCCATTACGCTAACTGCTGGTTCCCTCAGCTGGCGTTTTTGATGCCCACATCCACAGGAGCACTTAACCTATGTCTCCTCACTTTACCATTACTGCAGTCATCTATTGCTGTGTTTTAAACAACTCCAATGTGGCAGCTTAAGACAGCAATTCAGTCGTCTAACAGTTCTCTGGGTTGACCACCCTTTGCTACATTGCTCATGCTCAGTGGCTCTCATGCAGCTCGGTCAAATGGCTTTCATGCCCAGAGCTGGAGTCCCAGGTCAATGAACTAAATGGATCAGACATCAAGGCAGCCCACTCACAGAGCCACCAGCTGAGACAGTTGACTGGAGCATCTAAATGTCGCCTTTCTATGTAAATTTGGCTCCAAACAGTTCACTTTCAAGAAGTATCTCAAGAGAAAGGTGGAAGCCATCAATCCATGTGAAGGTGTGGCCCAGAAATGACCCAGCAGTTCCCGCCATGGCTTATTGCTCAGAGTAGTCACAGCCAGCCTAGATTCAAAGGCTTGGAGGAACAGATTCCGCCTCTCAACAAGAGTGGCATGCGCATTTAGTGAGAGAATGAAACGATGGTGACCATCTTGTAGACAAGGACTAGGGCTGGGTCTCTGTGTTCCAGGTGACCCTTCAAGCGAGCAGGAGTCAGGAGAACAGTACAGTCAAGGCCGCCGAGATCATAACACCGCAGAGCCCCTTCCACCAGCCACTGGGCATCTCGGAAGTCTCACTGGTGAGCAGCCAATCTTTCCAAATGAAAAGCCTTGGTAATGATCATAGATTTCTAAATGGAAGCTCCTGAGAGGTCTTTAGGAAGACGTGAATGGGAAGGAACGGGGTGCCAAATTCTTCCCAAGGGCTTTTAATTTGGTTAATGTGACGCTACAAAGGATGATCGTATCACTTTCAGACAATTCCGGTAGCAAGTAAGCAATTTCCTTTTACTGCTACAGAGTTAATTTGCATGTACAGAAAAAAAATAATTAAAGAAAAAACCCTAATTGTACAAGCTACGCTGTGTTCTGAGCCCACTAGAAGTTGATATCAGCATCACCACCTCTCGGATCTGTTATCCGTAATAGAAACAGCTGTTGTACCTAATGAAAACACTCGAAATTTTCATCAGAAGCAGCAGAATTATAGCAGCACCTCCCAGTTCAACAGAGCTAAAGGGTCTGTCAGAACCCCCATTACCTAACACGGTTTTCAGGGCTCCACTTTGTGACAGGTCTATAAAAAGCCCATCAAGCGGCAATCTGATTCATGAGGGCTGACCTCCTGTCTACATTTTGTTTTCTTTGAAGTTTCTCTGAGAACTGAGAGAATGAGACAATTATGCTTTCCCCTGACTCACCAGAACCAACGTCTCTTTCCAGAGTTTTACGGAAGTGGCTGTTGTTTCAGTTTGGCTTTGCAGAGGATTTCCTTTCTAGCGATTAATTCAAGAAAGATATCTGGATATTGATTTTGCTATACAGGTACAAAAATAAGGAAGCTATGTAAAGTAAGCGAATAAATGCATTTTCTTGTGTTGAAAAGTCCCACACCACCATATATTCAATTAAAGCTATCGCACTTTTCTTAGTTTCATGCTATCCCAAAAACACCTGAAGAAATTCATTCTGTTAAATATAGGCCTGTGGGTACAGTGCGTTCATGAAGTCACTGGACATTCCTGGGCACCGCCTCTGCTCAGATACTACCTTCACCATTGGGGACACAGCCATGAGCAAGCAGTGCCCTTATGATGTTTGCATCCTACTGATGCAGGCAATAAACCACCTAGAGAAATAGAAAATATGTTATCAAGTAGTAAATTATGGGGGACTGATCGTGACAGGACAAAGGAAAGTCCCAGATGAGAGAGCATATCTTACAAATCACGGGTGGAAAGCGTTAAAGAAAATAGCAAAGGCAGGACCCTGAGACTGAGCGTGCCCTATACGTACAAAAATAGTGTGAAGGGCAGGAAGGCTGGCATAGAATGATCAAGAGTAATAGGAGGGACCAGCAGTAGTTAGCGTAATGGCTATGTCACTGGACTACCACGTAGTCGACCACGGTTCACGTCCCGGACCCGGTGGCTTAAAACTCATGCTGGGTGCGTGTGTATGCGTGCCCAAGATCCTGAGAAGAGAATGGAGAGAAGGGATTGCAGCGTGGCCATCCCCCCTGGGGGGTGATTTCTCGCTTTCTGTCTCTATGTCTCTCTGTCTGGCGAGCACACGCACCCTATGGCAAAAACCTCTCCAAAAAAAAAAAGAGTAATAGGAAATGGGGCCAGTAGGTGGCATAGTGGTTAAGGTACTAGACTCCCACATGGTTGATCGTGGTTCGAGCCCCAGAGCTGGTGGCTTGAAACTCATGACAGCTGTGTGTGTGTGCATGTGTGCACATGCACTCAGGTGCATGCACATGTGCCCAAAATCCTGAGAGGAGAATGGAGGAGAAGAGATTGCATAGCCATCCCCCCGGGGTGGTGATTTCTTGCTTTCTGTCTATCTCTGTCTCTGATGAGCATATGCAGCCTATAGCAAAAATTTCTTTAAAAAAAAAAAAAAAGAGAAGGGCAGGTGCCCTGGTGGTTGGGGGTACTGGACTTCCACATGGCTGACTGCAGTTGGAGTACCAGACTTGGCAACTTGCTTTCTCGATTTCCCTCCCTGACTCTCTTTCTCTCTCTCCCTCTCAGGTCAAATTAAAACAAACAAATAAATAAAGTTAAATAAAATTATTCTCTTAAAAAAAAATTAATAGGAGATGGAGTAGGAGACATAACACTTTGCAAAAGAAAAACAAAACAAAAACTATTCTAAATAGTCTAAGTTGCTAAATTCAGAACAGATTGAAAGGGGCAAGAGCAGAAGCAGGAATCCTAGGTAGTCGGTTCCCACAGAGATCCAGGGCAGTAAGAATGGTGGCTTGAACCGAGAGCGTGGGTGATGGCAAGGAACTTGAGATGTGGTCAGATTTTGGAAGGGCAAAGGCTTATGTAGAGGGTGGCCAGCGTAAGTAAAAGCAAACAAAAACACTGAACTGAACTGAATTAGAGACCTGAACTAAATACCTGGGTCTATCACAAATTAGGTCAGAAGCTACTTGTTTTCTCTGGGCATCTGTTTTCTCATCTGTAAAATCAGGATATCAGACTAGAAGACTCTAACTTCCCTTCAAGCTCTAAATGAATGGGTCTTTCAAAAACTGGACCATCAATATGAAAGCTTTAAGAGTTAATACATACATACTGAATTGTTACTATGCACCAATACTCTCCTATTCATTTTACATATACTCACTAACTAATCCCACGTGAGATTAAAAAAAAGTGTAATTTATTACACAGAGAATTCATCCACTTTCTATCAAATGCCAGGGTCTCATTGTTTTTTATGGCTGAGTAGTATTCCATAATGTATATGTGCCACACTTTTTCAATCCATTCATCTGTTCATGGACATTTGGATTGTTTCCATGTCATAGAAATTGTGAATAATATGTCACAAAACATGATGTGCAAGTGTTTTTCTGACGGAGTGTCTTCCTATCCTTTGAGTGGATACCCAGGAGTGGAAGTGCTAGATCATATGGAAGTTCTATTTGTAGGTCTTTAAGGAATATCCATAGTGTTCTCCACAGTGGCTAGACTAGTTTATATTCCCACCAACAGTAGAAAAGAAGGGAACACTCCTTTTCTCCACAGTCTTGCCAGCACTTATCATTCTTTTCATTTTTTTAATTTTAGCCATTCTGATGCATTAGATTTCTCATTATGGTTTGATTTACATCTCTTTTATGATAAAGGATGTTGAGAATTTTTTCATATGCTTTTTGGCAGTTTGTATGTCTTCCTTGAGAGTTGTTCGTTTAGCTCATTTTCCCATCTTTCAATTGAGTTGATAAGTTTTTTTAGATAAGCTGCTTGAGTTCCCTATATATTTTGGTATTAGTCCCTTATCTGAGACATACTTTCCAAATATATTCCCATTCCAAGGGTTGTTGATTCACTGTAATTATTGTTTCTTTTGCTGTTCAAAAGCTTTTTAACCTGATGTAATCCCACCTGTCTATTTTTTGAATTATTGCCTATGCTTTAGAAGTCCTATTTAAGAAATCTTCGCCTATTCCAATGTCTCAAAGAGTTTTCTTTTGTTTTCCACCAGTAGTTTTATAGTTTGCTTAGATCTTTGATCAATTTTGAGTTAATTTTTATTAGTGGTAAGAGAAAAGGGTCTGATTTCATCTTTCTGCCAGTAGATACCTACATTTTCCAGCACGATTTGGTAAAGAGATTTTCTTTTTCCAGTAGATTGCCTGGTGTCCTGTGTCAAAGATCAGTTGGCTATATGTTTTGGGGTTTATTTCTGTGGTCTCTATTCTGTTCCATTGGTCTACATATCTGTGTTGGGGCCAGTACCATGCTGTTTTGATTACCACAGCTTTGTAATATATTATGGACTCAGGGAGTGAGATGCCTCCTTGCACAGTATTGCTTTGGCAATAGGGAGTCCTTTATGATTCCAGACAAATTCTGTGATCGATTTTCCTAAATCAGAGAAGAACATCTCTGGTAATTTAATTGGGATTGCATTAAAATGTAGATAATTTAGGTAGAATTGACATTTTGATAATATTAATTCTTCCAATTCAGGAACGTGGGATGTCTTTCCACTTTTTTGTGTCATTTTCATGTTTTTTTCTTTTAGTTTTTTCATAGTGTTCCTTGAGGAAGTCTTTGACTTCATTGGTTAGGTTTATTCCTAGAGCTCTTAAACCTTTTCCAGTTATTATAAATGGGCAACCTAACAACATACCTCTGGGAACTGGAAAAACAACAACAAAAATGCCAGGAGGGAAAAAAAATAATAAAGACTCAAGCAGAAATAAATGAAATAGAGAATAAAAAACTATACAAAAAAATAAATGAAACCAAAAGCTGGTTCTTTGAGAAGATAAACAAAGTTGATACACCATTAGACTAATTAAGAAGAGAGAAAGGAACCAGATGAATCAAATTTGCAATGAAACAGACAATATTACAACAGATAGACATATAAAAGGTCCGCAGAGACTACTATGAGCAACCGTATGCCAACGAACAAGAAAGCCCGGATGAGTTGGGCCAATTCCTGGACACGTATAGTCTACCAAAATTGAATCAGGAAGACATAGAAAGCCTGAATTGAGATGTAACAAGCAATGAGATTGAGTCAGTAAAAAATAACCTCCCAAGAAAGAAAAGCCCAGATCCCCGATTGCTTCATTTCTAGATTGCACAAAACTTTTAAAGAAGACCTAACTCCCATTCTACTCTGTTCCTTAGTTTTGCCTCTATCACCAGAAAAAAATGCAGAGGCCAGACATGCAAATTCTTGACCATTGATTCAGCTCTCACTCACGAGACCTTGGGCAAGTCTCGGTTTCTGAAAAGTATAGTGCTCATACCCACATCTCTTTTGAATTCTATGACTTGATTTGCCATCAAATCCTCAGATCCACTCAAGTTTTATAAAGTAGGTTTGCAGATTAATTGAAAAAGGGGTCTTGGGAGAAAAAAGTACCAGTTTTTAAGTGGGCACATAGCTAATTTCTTCTTACCAGAGAAATCAGATAATTAAGCAACAGTCTATCTTCATTGACAAATCCTAACTCACACTGAGAAGATCAGAATTTAACTTGACATAACTTAAAATACTGCCTTGTTCCAATAGGCCTCTAGATCACTGAGTTGTGACT